TTTGGAAATATTTTTACTATTTAATATGGCTTTCTATTTTGAATAGATTTTCAAATGTAATTTATTCCTGTGATCATACATAGGTACATTTTCAGCATCATTACTCCAGTCTTCAGTGTCACATGATCTTCAGAAATCATTCTAATATGCTGATTTGCTGATTATCAATATTTAAAACAGTTGAGTACATTTTTTTTTCAGGATTCTTTGATGAATAGAAAAATCCAAAGATCAGCATTTATCTGAAATAAAAAGCTTTTGTAACATTATACACTATTCCATTCAGTATAATTTTTATACATTTTTTGGGAAAGAAATTATAGAAATTAATAATTTTATTTAGCAAGGATGCTTAAAATTGATCAAAAGTGATGATAAAGGCATTTATAATGTTACAAAAGATTTCTATTTCAGATAAATAGTGTTCATATCGATATCGGAATTATATCGTATCGACCGAAATTTAAGAAATATATCGTGATATAAATTTTGGCCATATCGTCCAGCCCTACTACAAATATACCCCAGCGACTTAAGACTGCTTTTGTGCTGCAGGGTCACATATGTTTATATAGTACAAATAGTATTTTAAGATTTAATCTTTTTTTTTTTTTGGAGCAAATAATTTACTATATAAATTGTGGCCCATTTAAAAAAATATATTTAATGTAAATATTTATATTGTCCAAATGTATTTTTAAAAATACATTTTACATGCACCCAAAATGTGTTTTATGATCGGAAGTTTTTTCCCCACTCATGCTCTAATATATTTAGAGATTTGTAACAAAATAAAAAACAAAAATACCTTAAAATATATTTTCTTAAGCTGTGCTGTTTATGACTTATTTTTAGCACATATTCCACTGTTCCACATATGTTTAGTGCATTTTGCACTCTTCAGTCTGTATGTTTGTCTTTGGCTGTTGACGGATGTGTTTAGTGGAGCAGTCTGCAGCCGGTCACAGGTTCAGACCTGCAGGAGTGGAGTCTTGTGCTGATCTGCGGCGTCTCTGTGAGATCTGATGTCTCTCTCACACAGCAGATACTCACTGTTACGTGACTCATTAAGAAGGTCAAGAAAAGACTGATGAGTCTTCATGAGATCACTCTCATCAGTCTGTCTGATGACAGCCGTCACTCAGAGACGCATCATCAGTATCCATGACGACAGACCGCATTGATCCTTGATTTGGTGTTATTGTGTGTGTGTGTGTGTGTGTGTGTGTGTGTGTGTGTGTGCGTGTGTGCGTGCAGAAACTGAGATTGACTTTTATCTGCCACATGATGACATTTTGAGGAACGCATCACTTCCTCTTCTCCACTTCTGACTGTCTGTTCTGAGCAGAGTAAAGCGTCGTTCAGGAGGAAGAGAAGAGCGTTGAGATCAGCACTTTCCTCAGACGCATCGCTGCGTTTGAGGTGGATTCTGGGAGTATTGGCTGCGTCTCACTCCAGCTGTGGAAAACAATCCGTCCCGAGCGCTGAACTCTACAGGAAGTTAATCTCTCTCTCTCTCTTTCTCTCTCTCTCTCTCTCTCTTTCTCTCT